GAGTTCGCTGCGACCCTCCGTGCAGGTCGCCGCCCCTCCCTCTCTCTCTCTCTCTCTCTGCCAAAGCGGGAATGAACCCGTTCATTTTTCTTATTATTTTTTTTTTTTTCCGTTTTTCTTTTCCCGTTTTGTTTTTTTTGTCCCTTTTTTTTTCGTACCTTTCAGGCCAACGTTCGGGATGCCTGCGCCCGGTAGTCCGAGCCTCGGCACGGGTCGGCGTACCGGTCGGCCGAGGCTCGGGCTCGATAGCTGGCCCCGGGCCTCGTCCCCTGCCCTTATCCTCACTCCCTACTGGCTGCGCTCCCGCGCCACGCGCCGTACACAGTAAAAAAAAAAAAGAATTACCTAGGGCCGGTCACTTCGACGATGATATCTCGGCCGTCGCCCTTCTCAAGAGAAAAAGAAAAAGACGGTCGCTCTTTCGCCGGAGTCTGTTGGGGCGAGCGGTGGAGCGAGGGCCGTGTCAGGCAGGTTAGTTCTTTCCCAGCGTGGACGCGCTAACTGGTGTGGACAGCGGGTCGGTGGGTCTGCCCCTAAGGACGCAAGTCGCTGCAGCGTGGCCTCGGCCACGTGCCGAAGGAATCGGGGCCGTTGAGGCTGCGGTAGGGGTGTGTTTAGTCTAGTTTCTGACGCGCAAGAGAGGTGGGCCCCGTCGCGGCCCATCTATTGATGTGTGGGGGAGGGGGGAGGTACGGCGGGAATGGTTGCGCAGGAAGCGGTGTCTCACTCAAAAAGACAGCGCTGTATGTTGTAGAAGACGAAGTTCGTAATGCACGTCAGCAGTGACTGCGTCGGTCATTCCAACTACGTGGCCGTTGTGTATGTCCGCCAACAGTCCTTCCTTCCACCCCCCCTCCCTCCCTCCTCTCGCATCTGGTCACAGAAGCAGGGTCATCGCTGCGGACAACCGCGCGCAGAGAGAGAGAGAGAGAGAGAGAGAGAGAGAGAGAGAGAGAGAGAGAGAGAGAGAGAATGGCATCGGGTGGGCAGGATCTGTTGTTTCTTGTACGGAATAACTTTTACCTTGGAGCATACCAGGCGGCAATCAATGAGAGCCACGTGGAAGGTTTGACCGAAGCTGAAAGCATTGAGCGAGATTGCCTCGTGTATCGGTCATACATCGCGCTGGGGACATGCCAGGTGCGCGTAGAGTACGCTGCCTCGAGACGTCTGCCCGTCTCGTCGTCTTTATCGTTTGCTGTTTTCTGTTTGCGAAAGTATTCGCCTCCTATTTCGTTCATTGTTTCACTTTATTGAAACTTTGGACGGTCTTTTATCCCATTTTCATTTGTTCACACGGACGTGTCTGTCGATCTCACCAAGACACGTCTGCTCATCTCCTCGTCTCTCTGCTTTCTTTTCTGAAACATGTGGAATCTCGTTTACTTGGTGTGCGTTCACACCTTAGTCCCCGGGAGTGCATTATACCTCATTCGCGGGCAGATTCGGGTAGCAAGTTGTAAGTATGGCTCTATACACTATCGTATTGTTTGTTGCTTTGCGTGACGGCTTGTCTGTTCTGTACCTACAGGGAAAAAACCATAAGTGAGAGAGAGAGAGAGAGAGAGAGAGAGAGAGAGAGAGAGAGAGAGAGAGAGAGAGAGAGAGAGAGAGAGAGAGAGAGAGAGAGAGAGAGAGAGAGAGAGAAATAGGGAGAGGATTCTGTATCGATGAGTTCCCTGACGCAACCCTAACCCACGTGTCTGTTTGTCTTGTACAGGGTGAAAGGTGGAGACCGTGTTTCGTTTGTCGCTTAATTGGCTATGAGGCAGAGAGGGAGGAGGGAGAGGAGGAGGAGGAGGAGGGAGGAGGAGGGAGGAGGAGGAAAGAGACGTCGTGGCACGATGTATCGCGCAACCGGTTACTGGCTCTCGAGTCATGAATCATGGTTGGGGTTACGGTGGGAGATAGGGTCTGATCCTTTTTTTTTTTTTTTTTTTTTTTTTTTAAAACAGGTCCTTACGGTCCTGGCTCCATTTCCATTCTGGGGAGATAGGGTCTGATCCTTTCTTTTTGTGGGATCCCTATTTCTCGATATGTGTGGTATCCCTATTTGCCCAGAGGCCACGCTAATCAGTCGCCTTTGTAAGGGGAAAAAAGAATGAAAACAAATTCGTCCCTGTATCTAACAGATGACCCGAAGGACTAATTTCTGTCTTTGATTCATCTCTTGGCTCTCCTTTTCGAGACAGAGTGTTGGTTTCCCCGGCGGAGAAGGGCGGGGGTGGGGGGGGGTGTGTTTAGGCGGGCGCTGATAAAGGTGCAGATCTGGAAGATCGCGTTTTCGTCAGCGGTGAACAAGTATCGACCTTGTTTTCCTCTTTTTCCTGTTTAGTAAGTAATGTGGCGAAGTCGCTAGTATTGTTGTATATCTATCTGATTCCTTCCATCAGTATTTGAGCTTGCGATATATTCATTAATGCTTTATACCCTATTGGCTACCAGAGCGGGCCGGCAAGTTGCCCGGCAGGGCCAGAAAAATAGAAAGGATTTCTTTTTAATTATATTTCAAATTTGGTAAAGAATCTCGACGTGACCCTGCGGCAAAGTTTGTCCAGTTTATTTCTGTGCACCACATGAGCTGGCTGTCCTATGCAACATTTTCGCGTAACAAACGAGTTTCTGGCATGGAAAAATAGTAAAAACTACCTAGCTCATGCTGCTTACCGATTAATGACTAGATCGCGAGCTCGAATGATGGAAGGAATCAGACAGATTACAACAATATTAGCGTAATAAACGAGCGTCTGTGTGGGAAAAATAGTAAGAACAACGTGTTGTACGAATAATCAATATCCAGGGTTGTGGACTGTCCGGGCAGCGGTCCGGTTTTGGCCATTTGGCTCCCGGACATCAGTGCTACCAACGCCTGCACCAAAGCCGGGTAGTTGTCCCAGAGTATGTTACTTTTCGGGGTTGTTTGTTGAGGAATTCCCGGCCGGGCTCACTTTTTCTTGGGAATAGAATGAGCGGAGTTTTGTTGTTAAAACATAGTAAAATAAAATGAAGATCAATAATTAGACCTAGTCTGACCCTAGTCATGAAAATTTATATTTATAATCGGTCCTAAAATTTATAATGCGGTCCTAAAGGTCGAAACTACTAACCACCGAAATGAATAGTAAAAAAGTAGTAGTGAAAAAGAGGAAAACGGACCAAAACTAGTAATCGGAACGAAAAATCAAGGCTAATATTGTAATAGAAACTAAATACTAATTTCCTGAGGTTCGCCCGACCGGCGATATAATACATCCATCAGGGCTGTCTTCCGATTGCAAAACGATGTTTTTCGCCTCGAATTTTATGGTTTGCCTGACGATGAAAACGCGACTCGCTCGGGAATTGAAATGTGTTTAGAGGGGTAGATTTGTAAGAGACTGACGAGCGGGGTAATTTGGAAAATTGCGTCGTCAGTTGCCACTGCTTTAACAAAAAAATTGTAGTATCGGATGATGTGCATGCACCGCTCAATGACGAACTGGTTCGACGGTGATTTCTTGAATTCAGTGTCGCTGTATTTAGACTGGAAGCGGCCCCGAATGCAGCTGTAATGACTGGGCGTTATATTCGTGCGAGAAGACGGTCCGAAAGTGAGACTATTTTCATTCGCGCGCAAATGGATCTGACCGTCATGTAGGCTGTTGTTGGACCTGCAGTTTGGTGCCACATCGTACTGTGTCGGACCTGCCGACCTTCTTTTCTTCCCGCGAGCAGAACACATGGTCATTATCGCTGTACATAGACTGAAAGTTGCCCCTAATACAGCTACTACGACCGTGTGTTCTGTTCGGGGGAAGACGGCAAGCAGATTTGCTCCCATGTGTCAAGCGAATCGGATTTCTGTAGAAAGATAACTATGTAAAACTTGTGGCATTCAGGAGGTTGTGGGTTCGAGCCCCATGGGCGCGTGCGGCCCAGCTCAATTGGTTAGGCACCCAAGTGGCATTCAGGATTTCTATAAAAGAATAATTATGTAAAACGTGCGCCATTCAGGAGGTGGTCGGATCGAGCCCCATGACCGCCTGCGGCCTAGCTCAATTGGGTAGGCACGCAAGTGGCATTCAGGATTTCTATAAAAGAATAATTATGTAAAA